CAGAAAAGATTTACAAGGACGTTGCTGGGGTTGGAGGGTTTGAGCTATAAGGGGAGGCTGGGACTCTATTCCCTGGAGCATCTGATGCTGAGGGGTGACCTTGTAGAGATTTATAAAATCATGAGGGGCATAGATAGAGTGAATAAGCCAAGGTCTTTTTCCCCCAAGGTAGGGGAGTCCGAAATGAGAAGGTTTTAGGTTTAAGGTGAGAGGGGAAAATTTTAAAAGGGAAAAATTTGAGGGGTAACTTTTTCATGCAAAGGGTGGTGTGTGTATGGAATGAGCTGCCAGAGGAAGTGGTGGAGGCTGGTACAATAACAACATTTAAAAGGCATCTGGATGGGTACATGAATAGGAAGGTTTTAGAGGGACAGGGGCCAAATGCTGGCAAATGGGACTAGATCAGATTGGGAAGTGTGGTCAACTTGGACCAGTTGGACTGAAGGGCCTGTTTCCAGGCTGGGGTGACTCTATGACTCAACAACGTAAGCAGCAAAAGGGGATGACGATATGACAAGACAGAGAGGCATGGTTAGGGAGGGGAGGAGGTGAATGAAGAATCTATGTCAACATTTAACTGCCTGAAGAAACAAATGGGGATTCGAACGTGTTTGTGATCTCAAATTGTCGAACCCGATGTTGAGTCTGGAACTAAGGATGTCAAAGTTCACCCAGTTCCTTCTCAAATCACAGACAGACACCAGGGCGACGGTCTGTCACTGACTGGATACAGGATTCAAGGCTTATCCCAGCTGGCAGATTAGAAATCTGGAGACGGTCCAAGGTGACCCTGTGGATGGGCCCAGAGTTTTGCCTCCTCACCGGAACGCCAAACTCCATCTCTGATCGCTGGGACTTTCCGGATTTTTGAGGCCAATTCGAAACCGCCCACCTAAATTGACGTAGCGACAAACATGAGAGAGCTTGGCGTTCAAAAAATAAATACGCCCATCCCCGTTCGAGATGCAAAACGCTAAGTAAGCTCCTCACATCCCATTACACACAAGCAGTGTTGTTAATTTCTCCAAAATTGTCATGTCCATCAGCTAAATGTGGTTAACCTGCATTACGGATGGGGCGAATTGCATTTGGTGTAGAAATAAAACTGGAGTAATGGATGTTTTAAAAGATCAGATCGATACCAATGCACACGAGAGGCCCAGCGGTTAGTGCTAGGTTCTCGTTACATTGGGAGATGTGTGCTTTTTGTGTTGAGATGTACAAAAAGGAGAAGAGAGGCCTAATTGGATGTGTGCCCCTTAGAGAATAAGGCTGGGGGAATAATTACGGGGAAACAGGATTTGGCAGAGGAGTTACACAGCCATTGAGTCATACAGCACAGAAACAGACCCTGTCGAACATAATCCTGAATTAAACTAGTCCCATCTGCCTGCTTCTGGCCTGTATCGCTCCAAGCCTTTCCTAATCATGTACTTATCCAAATGTCTTTTAAATGTTGTAACTGTGCCCACATCCACCACTTCCTCAGGACTTTCATTCCACACGCAAATCATTCACTGTGGAAAAAAATTTGCCCCTTATGTCTTTTTTAAATCTGTCCTCTCATGTTAAAAATGTACCCCTTACTTTTGAAATTTCCCATCCTATTAACTATTTTATTTTATTATTATATAAACTTTATAAACTTCTATATGGTCGCCTCTCAACCTCCTACGCACCAGTGAAAAAAGTCCCAGCCTATCCAGCTTCTCCTTATGACTCAAACCCTCCATTCCTGGCAAAATCCTGGTAAGTCTCTTCTGAACCCTTTCCAGCTTAATAATATCCTTCGTATAATGGGGAGACTAGAACTGGACACAGTGCTCCAGAAGAGGCCTCAACAACGTCCTGTACAACCTCAACATGACGTCCCAACTCCTATGCTCAAAAGGTCTGAGCAATGAAGGCAAACGTGCTAAACGCCTTCTTAACCACCCTGTCTACATGTGACGCAAACCTCAAAGAATTATGTACCTGAACCCCCTAGGCCTCTCTGTTCTACAACACTACCCAAGGCCCTGGATTAATTGTATAAGCTCTAGCCCTGTTTGTTGTACCAAAATGCAATACCCTGTATATATCCAGATTGAACTCCATCTGGCACAGGTAGAAGATGCTAACAGCCTCCAAAATTACTAAATAATCAAAGAGTTAGAGAGGAAATAAACACAATAATAATCACTTCAAAAAATGTGCCAAAGGCTGATAAGCATTTGAAAGGATGCATCCTTGGATATCAAAAGATGTGGATAGCAGATGCACTGGCCATTATCTTCCAGGAATACTTAGATTCTAGAAAAAGTCCCAGAGGATTGGAAAACCACCAACGTACCACCTTTATTTTCAGAAATCCAGTAACGAAGACAGAGGGTGGTGGTGCTTTTCAGACTGGAGGCCTGTGACCAGCAGTGTGCCACAAGGGTTGGTGCTGGGCCCACTGCTTTTTCTCATTTACATAAATAATTTGCGTGACCACAGGAGGTATGGTTGGTAAGTTTGCAGATGACAACAAAATTGGAGGTTGTAGTGGACAGTGAAGAAGGTTACCTCAGAGTACAATGGGACCTTGATCAGATGGGCCAATGGGCCGAGGAGTGGCAGACGGAGTTTAATTTAGATAATTGTGAGGTGCTGCATTTTGGAAAAGGGACATCAGGGCAGGACTTATACACTTAATGGTAAGGTCCTGGGGAGTGTTGCTGAACAAAGAGACCTTGGGGTGCAGGTTCATAGCTCCTTGAAAAGTGGAGTCGCAGGTAGACAGGGCGGTGAAGAAGGTGCTTGGTATACTTGCCTGTAATGGTCAGTGCATTGAGTATAGGAGTTGGGAGGGTCATGTTGTGGCTGTACAGGACATTAGGCAGGCCACTTTTGGAATACTGTATTCAATTCTGGTCTCCCTGCTTTAGGAAGGATGTTGTGAAACATGAAAAGGTTCAGAAAAGATTAACAAGGATGTTGCCAGAGTTGGAGGCTTTGAGCTATGGGGAGGCTGAATAGGCTGGGGCTATTTTCCCTGGTGTGTTGAAGGCTGAGGGGTGACCTTATAGAGGTTTATAAAATCATGAGGGGCAAGGATAGGTGAATAGTGAAGGTCTTTTCTCTAGTGTGGGGGAGTCAAAAACTAGAGGGCATAGGTTTAAGGTGAGAGGGGAAAGATTTAAAAGGGACTTGAGGGGTAACCTTTTCACATAGAGGGTGGTGCGTGTATGGAACGAGCTGCCAGAGGAAGTGGTGGAAGCTGGTACAATTAAAACATTTAAAAGGCATTTGAATAGGAAGGGGAATTTGGTCCAAATGCTGGCAAATTTATCTAGGATATCTGGTCAGCATGGACGAGTTGGACTGAAAGGTCTGTTTCCGTGCTGTGCATCTCTATGACTGTAACAATAGGCCAGTTAGCTCAAGAGGGAAAGTGTTAGAACCTGTTATAAAGGATGTGATAGCAGAGCATTTAGAAATACATCAAGCAGAATGGAG